ATCTATGCTTGTGATGAACAAATCCAACCTCCAAATCTTTTTCTTCCTTTTATTTAAGACTCATAAATGATCTCACAAGATTTATTCAATCATTTAACTACACACAAAATATAAATTTAAGATCCAAACATACCATAAACATTACTTATTCTCTTATCTCGACCAAATTCTTTCATAGTGGCTAGACCTTAATTACTATGGCAATGACATTAGCTTTGTTTTTTTTAAGGGTAAATTACACTCACCTCTCCTGAGGTTTCTAATAAATACAAGGATCTCCCCTGTGGTTTGAATAATTACACAAACCTCCTTTATTTTTAACGAACATTGTCAAGATTCTCTTATTCCGTCAAATTGGCACAAACGACGTTACTTACATATACTAAATGACTTTATTACCCTTACTTTGGAGCATGAAAAGATGATAATACCCTTTGTACCCTAAATTCCTAATTCACTACCTATTCTGATTTCGATCGAATTTGTGGAGAAAGAAAAGAGAGAGAGAGATAAAATCTTTGAAGAAGACCGATCGGTGTGAACAAACGACGAAGAAGCTTGAGATTTTGGTTCGATCATTGTTGCCAGTGCAAAATGTGAAAGAGATTGATCGGTGAGAAATTGTTTTTAGGGCGTCCAGGTAAGATTTCAAACATTTTATACTTCATCCCATTTGTTTTTTGGAGTAACAGTCCAGTTCTTTTATACTTTATCCCCGTTTGTTTTTTGGAGTAGCAAGCCACTCCGGACTGTTAGTGATGAACAGTGAGCCTAGTTCATGTTTGTTCTGCTTTTGGAACTGTTGATTTGTAGTCCTTTTCGGATTCGTAGTCCCTTTGATTTGTACACCTTGACGAACGGATGAGCAGTCTGGGCTGGGAGATGTTGGGTGACCAGTCGTCCGTGAGGACGTCCGGCAAGACGTCCAGTCGATCAACCAGCCAAGTGCAATTTTTTTTTTTTTTAAATGTTGGGCATTTTTTTGTCTTCTTTTTGTTATGATTTTTGATTTTATGCCAGTATGACTGTATTGTATGAACTTTTATTAATGTTTGTTATGAAATTGGGGATTTGGTTTTGTTAATTTACTGTAAAAAATAGTTTTCTTCTTAATTTTCTTAGAAATAATGATTTAAGGATTTTTTTTATTATTCTATTTGTTATGCAATTATGGTTGTATGAGCTTTTATTCTTATTTTTTTTTGTCTTCTGCTTATGAATTTTGTTACATTTGGATGAGTAATTGTTGAATGGAGTTGTTTTTTGTAATTAATTGTTACTCATCATAATCACAGTATGGCTACATTCCCTTATTTTGATTTAATCATCAATTATAAAGGCAAAGTAGACAGAGTATATGATGTGGACCCAAATATGTATTGCTACATTGATGCCATGAAGGATGTTATATTGACCCAAATAGGAGTAAAACAATTAACTTATATGTAGATGTTGCATATTATCTTGATCTTGATGTGTTGGTTATGTTGATTCTATTTTTTCTGCTTTTTTTTTTTGTATTCTTTAATTTTTTAGGGTTTTAAGAAATGGGGACCGTCAAGATTGTAGTTGTTGTTGGTGAGTTTGATTGTTGTTTTTTGGTGTGAAGTTGTTAGCTTTGTTTACTATTGATTGAGTTTATTGTTAATTTTGTTGTTTGGCTGAAGTTGTTAGCTTTGTAAAATATGAAAGATGCCGAAGAAGAAAAACACCGGAAGGGAAAGTCTAAGAGAAAGAGCAAGAGAGAGAGAGAGAGAGAGAGACAGAGAGAGAGAGAGAATACATTGTGTTTTATTTATTTATTTTTTGGCTGCGGGTGTATTTCATAGTGTTGTGTGAGACAGAGAAAATAAATTGGGTTTTATCCTTATGTAACTCAACTCATGGAGTGTTTCAAGACACTTGAGAGTATTATAGGCATTTCAGTATTTATCTTTAATGACATCAGCAGTTTCAGTTAGTTGGGTGAACGACAGTGAAAAAATAGAGGAATTTGGGGAAATTACCCACAAGCCCCATGTGGAACATGTAGACACCATTTAATCCCATAACTTTTTGGGTACACCCAAAAGTCCTTTCCTCAATCTCTCTGGTTTTTTCCTCCCTTTTTACGTTTTCTTCTTTCTCTTTTTTTCTACATTTTTCTCTCATCGTCTTCGTCATAGACGATGGTGCAAGTGTTCATGTCTTTCTCCATTGATCGGGGTTCATTGATAACCGCCGACCATCGAAATCAACTCGTGATTTCACTCTCACCGACGGTGAAGATATATATTTCCGACGAAGAAGATGAGTGGATCTACTTAGATCTGATAGATCTGAGTAGATCTACATCAGATTTGGCTAGATCTAAACAAAAAATAGTTGTCGGAATATAATCCTCTCTCTACATCCGCCTTTCTCCTTCGATCTCTTTTTTTTTTCTCTGCTATACACTTCTGTTTTTCTGTTCTAATAGAGAAAATTTTCGAATTTTGAACAAGTAGTTTTTGAGTTTTAGTTACAGGCGGTGAAAACTGTAAAATTTTGCAGTTTCAAATTTTTTTTTTGGTGCTGGAATGAATCATGGTTTAAAACTGTAAAATTTTACAGTTTCATAACATGTTTTTTAATTTTTTTTTTCCGGCAATATTTTAGACATTCCGGTGAGTCTTCGGCGACCGTTAAATGGAAGTCCGACGGTAGTAAGATGTGAATAGTGTCTGTAAATTAAAAAAAAAAGAAAGAATTTTTTGGTAACAATTAAAAATGTATTGGACTAATTAATGCAAGTGTTTTGTTTTGGGATTAGCTGGATCTTGAACTTGGTGCATGGGACTTATCAGTAAGTTCCCCAATCATATTGTCAATTAAAGTATGAGAGGTTTTTGTAATTATGAAAACCACATGGGAAGTCTCTGTATTTGTTAGAAACTTCAAGGGAGATAAGCATAATTTATCTTAAAAATTTAAATAAAGCAATCTAAATAGTGGATCACCCTTGATTGTAGAGGTATGGCAGAAAAATTGAAATAATTAATCATACCGATTCTTATGATGAACAAATCCAAACGCCAAATTTTTTTCTTCTTTCTATTTAAGACTTTAGCAATCTCACGAGATTTATTCAATCATTTAACTATACACAAAATATAAATTTAAGATCCAAACATACCGTAAACATTACTTATTCTCTTATCCCGACCGAATTCTTCCATAGTGGCAGGACCTTAATTACTTTGACAATGACATTAACTATGTTTTTTTAATACTTATTATGACTAATTGGTAATTTCTCTTTTTGACAAGAAGCAAACAATACATAGCTCTCACACTTAGAAATGGTCCCCAGCATTTTTGAAAGGAACTCATATGTAGCCATAGTAAAATAATAGAGACTACAAATTTTGTCAATGATTTTTTTTACACGGGGGGATACAAAGGACGGGCTTGAGAATTGTGAGAAAATATTGATCACAGAATAGACCGTTTAGAATAATTGTGATTATACAAATTAAGACCAATATAACTGTCACTTAAAAAGTGATCGGTTATGGTTTGTTTTGAAAAATAGGAGGAAAAAAAAAAAAAAAAAAAAAAAAAAAAAAAAAAAAGCTTTTTTTGACTTTTTTTTTTTGAAAAAATATATATATAAAAAAATAGAGAAACATTGTAACCCAAATAAACTAATAAACTATTTTTTTTTATATTCCCAAAACAGACCTGTATAATTAATTATGTATTCATATAATTATTAAATACGACTTACACAAACTATATGCAAGAGTGATGTTAAAAATAGTTTAATGGACAATAAATAAATAAATAAAAATATTGGCAAAATTAAAATATCAAATACATCTTTATATTCTGAAATATTTATTATACATTTTAGAAAAAATTATACTAAAAAAATCCTAAATGTTTAACTCTGGTAATAAAATAAATTTTTTATTTTTTATTTTATCAATTTAAATTTGTTTTTAATATAGTTATATACTGTATCTATTTTTATTTAGTAAAATTGATTACAAAAATTGATATTTTAGTCATTAAATTCAACAACAAAAAATTATAGACATATTAGGTTGATGATTTAAATCAAAAATAAATTAAAATATTAAAATTTAGATTAACAAAATTAAAAACTTAATAGTTATTTGGGAAAGCTTATGGTGTGCACCTTATTAAAAATTGACATAATTTTACTACAAAAGTTTATAATATCAATATTAAAATGCGTAAACTCATCACAAATTAATATAATAAAATGTGTAAAATTTTGTGATTGATATTATAAAAATTTGTGACTTGATTACTATATTTTTTGTTATGATAATTTATAACTAGATTACGCATTTTATAATTAATATTATAAAGTTTTGTAATAAAAGTATGTCATTTTATAATAAGGTGCATATGATATATGCTTTCCCTGCTTATTTTATTACAAATTCTTATATTCCGCAGTTGTTTGGCATTGAGTTGTAATTGGAACTAAAAAAAGATAAAGAGTTATGTTAGAGATCCTAAATAAATTACCAAATCTCTCACATAAGTATGGGATCCATACAAATCACATGTGTGTGAGTCCCATATCCATGTGAGAGATTTGGTAAAAAATTTAATAATTCATTTGGCATCTCTAGCATTTTCCAAAGATTAAAGGTACAAAAAGGATAAAATACATTAAATAAATCAATAAGATAAAATATTACATACAAATTATGATATTTTACTTTTTTTTCTCACAAAAAACTAAAAAAAACCAAAAAAATTCTTCTTAAACAAAATTTATTTAGTCAAATTAAATTAACCAAAAAACTAAAAAATCAAATTAAAAAAATTCCTACCCAACAAACCCTCCACACTTCAATACAATAATCCACACCAAAATCAAGGAAAAGTGAGAAAATCCAAAACCACAAGTCTGAGAGAGTACATCCTCTATCATACCAAACCATGTGATTTCACAATTTCAATACCAAAAACACCATCCTGTCAATAAATAAATAAATAAATACCAAAAACCACATGAACGGTGTAAAATCCACGAACACATACTCCTCATTTACAGAGTAACACCGCTCCTCCTAACCGGAGTTCTGACTACCACTCACCGCCCTCGCCGTCATCCCTTCAAAATACTATAATAAATCAGTCATCTCACCTTTCTCTCTCCCTGTCTCTCTCTCTCTCTCTCTCTCTCTCTCTCCTCGCACTGTAAATCAGTGAACAAAAGAATTAAAAGGACTAAAACAGAATAATATGATGATACTGCCATAAATCCAGAAAAGAAAATTCACATCTGGTCTGGCTTTGCAAAAAGTCCACCTCTTTCTCTCTCTCTCGATGACCGCCGGCCATTCGGTCTCGGATAAGTGACGATTGGCATGGCGGATGACGTGGTTCCGAGAACATTCCGAGCTCTGGTGGAGAGCGCCGACCAGAAGTTCGCTAGGGTTCGAGACGTGCCTGCCTACGGACGAGGACCGAATCACTACTTCTCCAAGGTGTTCAAGGCCTACATGAGGCTCTGGAAGTACCAGCAAGAGAATCGCAAGAAGCTCGTCGAGTCCGGACTCCAGCGCTGCGAAATCGGCGAGATCGCTTCTCGGATTGGCCAGCTCTACTTCAACCAGTACATGAGGACCAGCGAGGCTAGGTTCTTGCTCGAATCCTATATTTTCTATGAGGCCATTTTCAACAGAGCCTACTTTGAGGGATCCAAGGGTTTCTCCAAGGATCGAGGTTTGAGGTTCAAGGAATTGAGGTTTTACGCCAGGTTTTTGCTTGTTACGCTTATATTGAATCGATTGGAGATGGTGAAACTTCTCATGGAGAGGTTCAAGGCTCTTGTTGATGATAGCATAGCCACTTTTCGGGTAATAATTCAATTCCTGTTTGCTTAATGTGTGGAATGGAAGATTAATGTACTTGTTTTTGTTGATATTACTTTTATTTTATTTTTTATGCATTTGGATCTAAAATTTGAATCTTGTTTTTGTTTGAAATTTGAAGCACATTTGAACCAGAAATTTTCACTGAATTTTTGGGTAATTTTAGTTTAACTGAATTTCGTGAAAATTCTGAAAGTTGTTTGGTTGAGATTAGGTGCACCTTCTATTGAATGTCATTTTTTTCGCATTTTATGGTGGATGTAAGGTTGATACTTAGTCAAATTGGATATTTGTTTATGCAAATCGCAACATGAAACATGTTTGTTCTGATAGACATAAATACATGACCGTGCACTCATCTCTTGAATTCATTTCATATGATTTTTCTCTTAAGCAAATTAGAATTTCACTATCTAAAAATAAATAAATAAAAAGAAGCAAATTAGAATTTACTTCTTCGAATTTTTTTTTAAACATAAAGAAATTTACCTCTTTTACAAGTATTGTATATTCTCTGCTTGTTTCCATACTTTTGTGCGAATTTTAGGACTTGTGTTTCATCAAAAATTACCAGCACATAAAGAAATCTCGAATTTGTAAAAGTCAAGGGAGAAAGGTCAAGGGGCATTATGAGTGTACAAAACGTGTGGAGAATTTATGCCCAAAGATTTTTCAAACACAGCATCTCTTGGTTATGACTGAGTTGTAAAAGAATAAATTAATTATGTTAGTGGACTTGCAAATTATGAAGACTTTAGACACATATGATAGTATTTCTTAGGCTATGTTTGGGAGGGATTTGGAAAGAGAAAGGGAAAAGGATGGTGAAATGTGAATAAAATATACTTACATTTTTCACCTAATTTTACACTTCTTTTCACTTTTCCTTTCCAAATTCATTCCCAAATCCTTCAACCAAACACAGTCTTAATGTTCCATTTGAAGGTGCCTATCAGAAAGAGAGAGAAAAAAAAAAGTGTTGTTTACACTCCATTATATTTGCGCTCCATATTTTGTCTTTTGTATCAAAATTTACACATGCAACTGTTCCTAATACACAAAAAATCATAAAAATTGGAGTGCAATTATAAATGTTCCAGTTTGCAGGTAAACTTTGAATTATATGACTTTTTTCTGGACCAGTTTGGTAATATGATGACCTTGCATTTGAGCTATGTAACTCTCATTAAAAAAGTTCAACTGTATTATCATTGTTGGGGAACATGATAAACAACATTACAAATCAATTGAGAGGTCATTGTGAACTAGATTTTATTTTCTGATAACTGATTGAAAGGAACGGTGAAGGAGGTGAAATACAATGCATTTGTATGTAAAGTAGATCATATGGCAGTTTGGTTGTAGGCTCAGCTCATATAGAACTATTTAGATGTTTTACTTGCCCACATTCAACATTTGGTTCAAAATATTCTGCCCAAAATAGACAAAGTAAGAGAATAAAGTCTTTGAATGAGAGATTTCCGGAGAGTCAGGACATCTAGATTGAAACATTTTATTTTATTATTTTTATTTATTTATTTATTTTTTTTTTTGGGGGGGGGGGGGGGGTTTGGTTAGGGGGGATAAATAAAGTCAATTTTATTATCCAAAAAGCATCGAGACAGTGCTAACGAATACATCAGAAAATATCAACAAAACCCAAACCTAAACTCAATGAGTATCTATATTCCACAAAAGCAAACAAATCCGGGGGCACTGTCCCCTTTCACCCAACTATACAAAATCACCAAAAATTGAGACTTCATACAAACCATTGATTTATGCACAAGAAAAATTGAAGGAGTCGTTTGCTAGAATTATTATAATTTCATCCAGTAATAAGTTTTGCTCTAGTTTATTTTCCTTTACCAAAAAAATGAGGGCATGTTTTGGTGATTAACTTATCATTGATTCATGAGAATGCTGAATTAATTGAAGTTTTTCTTTAAATGCTCATGAGGTAACATAAGGGAAGCTATGCATATTCGGCTTTCATCATTGAGAGCCATAGTATGAGAAATATCTTTCTATCCATCTTTTAGTATTTACTTGCATGATGAATGATATTTGAACTATTTCTTTCCAGGAAACCAACTTCAAAGAGTGGAAGCTTGTGGTGCAAGAAATTGTTCGGTTTATGAAAGTTGATACAGCATTAATTTATCTTAGGCCTTTGCGATATTGTGCTAAATTTGATTCCTATCCAGCTTCTCTTCCATATGTGGCCCGTTTCCATGCGACGAAGGTTCTAAAGTGTCGAGATGCACTGCTAACAAGCTATCACCGAAATGAGGTGACTGGTTTGATGTATTTAAATGAATAAATATTTGTTTTTGTGACATCATCGTGTGTTCAACATGCGAAATTAGCTGTGCAGATGTTTATTTTACTGTTCATGCATTGTCATTTAGGTCAAATTTGCAGAGCTTACTTTGGACACTTTCAGAATGATGCAATGTTTGGAATGGGAACCAAGTGGATTGTTCTGTCAAAAGCATCCAGTTGAATCACGTGAGAATGGTGCTCCAATTGATCATTCTGCTATTTCTGGGCTAATTGATATGAATTTGGCTGCTGATATGACCGATCCAACTTTGCCTCCAAATCCAAGGAAGACGATTCTTTATCGTCCATCAGTGACACAATTGATAGCTGTGAGTTTTTAGCCTGAACAATGTTACATCTGTTGTAATTAAATGGCTATTTTGGTAGTAGTCATTTTAGTTGCTGCTTTTGGCTCAAAGGACTCAGTAGCATGCTCAAATTAAAATTGTAATGCTTCAGTTTTGGTGGTCCATCTGCTTGCATTTTGCAGTCTTTTCAAGCATTAGGCTGCATGTAGGCATCATAAAATTGAGCATCCCAAAACCATAACTGCTTTTGTCCTCTTCACACAGCATGGTTATTTCGCACCATGCCTTTATGCTGCTCTTAACATTCCATATTTTGATCCATGGTTATCAGAATCCCGATCCGGATCTTACGATCCATTTGAGTGTAATCGATCCGGATCGTGTAAAAAACTCCTTATAGGTAGGATCTTTCGATCCTGGTAGTGGGATCTTATAGGATCGTGGAATCCCGATCCGAATCCGATCCAATTTACAAGCCTTGTTTTGTATTGTATGACATATTTTGTTGTAAATTTTATATTTGTTGTCTAAATATCAATTTATGTTGTCAAAATAAATCATAAAAATTAAGTAGTATTGAATCAAATAGACTAAGAAAAACAAACTATGAAACAAACATTCAAATATTGCAGTAATTTAAGAAAATTAAATAGTCGGAAAAACAAACTTAGCTTTAGCGGAGTCTAAGAAGGGTAAGATGATTGTAATTTTATCCCAATTTCTGGAGAAATTATTTTTGTGACTCGAATCCGCTCCACCAGGGATGCTAACGACAAACCTTATCATTCGACTAAGCTACTCTTTTGAGTTCTTAATCTATTTTCATATCCAATTTTGTTAAATATTTTTTCTTCACTTTTTATGCATTATTGTACATTGTAAAGTATTTTGTTATAGAATTCTTCTTCTTCTTCACCTTCTTTTTTGATAAAATACAGAACTTTTACCATCGAGTTTTCTATTGCATAATATTATATGTACATTTTACATGAGTATTATATTTTTCACAATATCTTCACTTCTTTTTAATAAAATATAGGTTCATTTTGTGTATACTTTATAAGAAATATTTATTTAAATTAAATTATTATGTAATTTGTCTTTTTCGGTAGGATCTTACGATCCTCGATCCGATTCTACGATCCGATCCTATAAACACCTCCAACGATCCACCGTAGGATCCCGATTTTAACAACCTTGTTTTGATCCACAAAACCAGACTCCTGCCTTTGGGATGAAGGAATCTAGTATTGGAATCTCACATTGAGCTATAGCCATGAAAACAGAGTGATTTTCCTAATCAATCTGGTATAACAGGACACATCATCTGAGCATCGTCTGATCACTTGGATTTGATAACATTATCCTCCTTTTCAGTCATGCCTTTGGTCTTAGGTCATAGTTGGTTTTGTACCGAGCCAACTTGTACGTTTTGTGGCTATTTCTTACACATGACATGAGGACTGCATCAGATGTGATGGTTATGTTGTTTCTAATGTTCCACTAGCTGGAGGTTAGGATTACTCATTGCCTTAGATAACTCAACTCATGAATATACATATTTCTGATCCTTTCCAAGAGAAGCAAATATTAATCAACCAAATTGAATATACAAAATATGGAGATACCCGTAAAAGGCATTAAGAGACAGATCAGTTGCAGAATTTTTTGTGAAAAATTATTGAGATAGTGGTGTACTCGGAAAATTTAATGTGACTACTGGAAACATTAAATTGGAGCACATTTAGTGAGCTGGATCGACATTGTCTTAAAAAAGTGCATGGATACACTATTGTAGATAGCACAGGATGATTTTTGAACATGTAGGAAAGTATATATACAGTGTTAATCTATACTAGATTACTATTATTTAATGGGAGAGCACCATTTTGTTGCTTTGAAACCCGTCAACTTTTCGTCTCTCCCAAAACCCCTATTTTTTTCTTTTTAATTATTCAAATCTTTTGTTCTTGAAGGGGTATAATAGGGATTGAAATTTAAATTCGTGTGCCCTAATATCTTGCAACTTTGCAAGTGCACTGTAACTCAGAAATTAGTTTAGCTAATAGGGCAGGATGAAAATGGGAGGGGGAGGTGATAGAGGTAAAGATGGACAGTCGTTGCACATTAATGGATAAATTTTGAGAAGAAAAAACTATTTTAAATATGTTAAAATTTGTGATAAATTGGGTATGATAAAGTTTACCATGTGCAATATGCAACACCCCTCTAGTCAATATGAGGATATTAATGTTTGGCTAGTCATGCGTTAGTCAATACTAGTTAAACCATGTGAACGAAATGTTTATACAAACTTGGCCATCTATTAAACTCTACGTACTGTTGAAGGAATTGTGACATTTGAGACATTTGAAAGAAGACATTGAAGTTAGAAGTTCAGCATTTACTTCTCTTTAATGGATTTGGGTCTACTATAAATGTATGTTTATTTGCAAGTCTTACATTGTATTATAAGATTATGTTATGTTCAGATATTTTCCATATCATACCATAATGATTACATTGAGCTATGGTATGGATGAATATAGGTAGATATTAGATTTCTACTCAAAGAAGATTGTAGCACTGAGGCAAGAGGTGGCCGTTCCTTGCCTCTTGCACCATGTTTCAGGCCCCTTCTGTTCACCTTGTTGCACTTTCCTCTTATGCACTTACTGTTCTAAACAGTTACACCTTCATGCTCACAATGCACAGTAACTGATGCTGCACAAAATTTAGGGTAAAAAACAACAATATTCAGAATATTTATGCTGATAAATTATTAGAAAGATAATGGGATAACATACTCATTTAAAAAATAGTTTTGAATGATTGAATATCAAAATATATCATACTACAAAATGCTGTAAAGATACCTCCAAAATTTATCTGTCTTCAATTCTGCTATGTGAGAGATTGCAGGCAATGCTTTGACTATATTTTTGACATTTAACACCATGATCCATTCTTGTGTGGATATTTCATTTATAGAGTTCCATTGCTTATGTGAATATCTAATTTGCACGTCTTACATTTGGTCTTTTATGAATGGTAGGTTATTGCTACGATCTGTGAGGAGCTTCCTCCGGATAGCGTGATGCTAGTATACATATCAGCCTCAGGTTACCTTCTTTTCTATTGTTAATCTTAAAGACGAACTGTTCAGTGTGCTACTATCCTAGATGACTGATACCAGTGATCTATCCAGGGAAAGCGGGTCATAGTAATCTTTCACAGATGGAAAGGTCTGGAGTTTTAAGCAAGCCTACAAAGGTCAAAGTTGTTTCTCATACTTCCCATGGACAAAATAGTTGTATTCCTGAAAACCATGTTGATGACAATGGGAACTCGGGGCACTGTTCTGAGGATTCTTTGTGGTTAGGTCCTACCAGAAATGGAGGTAGGAACCCTTATTTACTTAGTTTTTCACTCGAGTTAAGGAAAAACTCTTGCATATCATTTAATAAACCATTCAAAAAACTTTGAATTTTCAGGTTCAAATACTCTTTACGGGGGTGATATAATTCCTTTTACCAGAAGACCTCTTTTCTTGATTATTGATAGCGACAACAGCCATGCATTCAAGGCAGGTTTGTCAAAACTTGTGTATAACTTGCCACACTATGACGGTATTATTATTCTAATACAGAATTTTGCTTGTGAACATGATGATGCTATGTAATGGTGCTCATGTCCACATTATATAATTGGTTTCCGAGTAATTTCTCCATTTAACAAAGGAACTGATCAGTAACTTCAAAATGTATTTAAATGATAACTCTTCCAGTGTTACTGGCCAAATTTAAATATATATATATACACACATCATTTTATGTATGTTTCTCACACCCCTTAAAATAGATAAATAAATAAACAATCACTTTCACCATTTGAATTGAGCAAAGAAATTATGCATAGACTTTAAGGGTGGTGTGCCTTTTATAGTGTTTAGGGGTGGTGCTTCCATATAAAACTTGAATAATATATATTTCTTAAAATTATATATATCAAGGGGCAGTTATGTCCAATGTGTTCTTTTAGTGTGATACCTCCATAAAAGATGTTATCTACACAGACTTTATATGTCCAACATGTCCAAATGTGTCCAATGTGTTCAATTGTTCTTCTCCCATATTCCTTCTCTACCTGTCACCAAGTACAAAAGTTTGTTTTTATGGAATCTGTTCTGCAACAGACTATGTGGCTGTTCAGTTAGAAATTGGCTTTGTTCTCTGAAACAACTGCTTGCTTCTGCTTTTGAGTACTGTTCAACTGTGGCATTCTCCTTAAGAATACAACTGCATGATTATCTGTCAAGTTGATTGTTTCTGAATTGCATTCCAGGTTCTGCATGGTGCAGAAAGAGGAGAAACAGCTGCCCTTCTTCTTTCCCCTTTGAGGCCATCATTCAAGACTGCTGATGTAACACAAAATGGAAGTCAGTTTACGTTGTTCTTAACGGCTCCTCTGCAAGCATTCTGCCAATTGGTTGGCCTCACCTGTTCTGACAATGATGCTGTGAGTTAATTGGAAAATGTAATGAACTTATTGCTACCATTTCTAGCTTACGTGGTCCATTGATGAGATTCTCCTTTCAGGATGTTTACAATGATGCTGACAATGTGCTCTCCACTTCATTCTCCGAGTGGGAAGTGATACTCTGTACATCAACTATGTTGGACCTTGTTTGGGCTCAAGTTTTATCTGATCCATTTCTGCGGCGGCTAATTCTTAGGTAACTTTCTTTTTGATAAAAGTAAGCCTTGTTAATTATTATCTTCTACTTCAAGCACATTTCACAACCCTATCCTAATTGGAAAGATGTTGAGTGCTGGGATTAAAAAATTGGTTCACAAAGTATTTGGTTTGCCTTTGGGAAAGAAACCAGGTAATTTAATGGTCACAAGAATTAAATGAATTTGGGAAGCCTGGGGTCATGAAAGTATTTGTCATTATTGTTTGTGGAATCTGTATCATGTGAGCAGATCATTGAGTATTTAGTTAGCAATATTAGTGATTCACTTCCATTATGGACTATTGTATCATAAATAGCAAACTGAATTAGAAGGAACCTAGAGTCTTCAGCTTTTGTCAAGAAACATAAAGCTAATTTGAACTTTCCATGTTGAGGCATCGATTGCCTCCTCTAATAGGCATTGTTTTTTATGGCATCACAGCATAACCAGGCACCCAAGACAATGTCACACATCAAACAATGGGGCTGTTTGGTGCAGCTTATATGAGCTACTCATATCTTTTTTTATTTTGGGAGTTAGACTGTTTGGTGTAGCTTTTGCTTACAACTTGTCATACATAAATTGTTTAAGGTGTTGATTGGCAAGTTAGTTTGTGGCTAAAATAGCCACAAAAGATAAAATAGGCTATTTTAGCCACAACAAATAAAACATCACATCCAACCCATAATCATTACACTCTTCTCTCACAAAAAAAGTCAAAAAATCCGAAAAGTCAAAAAACTCTTCCCAAACCAAGTTTTTTAGCTCAGGCTAAATTAGCCAAAAAAGCCAAAAAGCCAACCCAATTCCCAAACGGAGGCTAAATAAGCTGAAAAAAATTGATTATCTGAAAATTGGGGGAAAGATGCTTTTGACTTTTGTTTTATGATTATCAGCTTTTAGTTTATAATAAGCTGCATCAAACAGGCCTAATGTATTGACTGGTGCATTCTGCAATTGATGAGCATAATATTCCACCAAAATCAACCAAACCTTATTGCTAAAATAGTCTTTTTGTCATACATAAATTGTTTAAATAAGTTGAAAAAAATTGATTATTTGAAAGTTGGGGGAAAGATGCTTTTGAGTTTTGCTTTATAATTATCAGCTTTTAGCTTATAATAAGCTGCACCAAACAGGCCCAATGTATTGACTAGTGCATTCTGCAATTGATGAGCATAATATTCCACCAAAATCAACCAAACCTTATTGCCAAAGTAGTCTTTCTGATGAATAAAATAGCATTAAATACAATTTTCCAACTACAATGCTTTGAGATTGCGCTTTTGTCAAAAAGTATACTTACTTGACATGTCCTCCTCCTGACAGATTCATTTTCTGCCGATCAGTGCTTACTTTTTTCTGCCTCCGAGAGGATAGTGATGAATATTTGCCAGTTTGCATACCCCAGCTGCCCAATTCTGTTTCTCCAAACTCTGATGTTGTGCAGTCAGCCATCTTCCGGCTTGCAAGCCATCTGGATGTTGCAGACTGTTTTTCACTTAAGTGACACATAGTTAGGACCCAGAAATGGACAAGCGAATTTGTATATTTAGATTGCTACCTTTCAGAGCTAAAGGGTTACACCAATAGAAAGAATGGTTCAAAGATTTGCAATACTTAAGCAATGATAGGGTTTTTTGCTGGCAATACAGGAATTTTTTTCTCTTTCTTTTTTTGGGTGTCGGGTTGCTTTTGTTTGTTTTAGTGCGTATCTGCAGCCCCGCTGTTTCTTCTGTTGTGTGTGCAGAATTAATTTATAAATTTGTTCTTTCTGGGGGTTAGCTGGTTGGTTTATGTCGGATGCTCTTGGGTGTGTTGGTTCCAAGTGGGCCTTGTGGGTGAATAGTTCATTGGGCTTACTACTTGTTAAGGTTGTTACAGAATTAGTGCCTAATTTGTTTATACCTTTTGTAAAAGAGAACTTGGTAGTTGTTGAATGCAGGATTTTTTTTCTTTTCTTTTCTTTTCTTGACAACATTCTTACAGATATTCATCGCTACATTACTTGTAAGAGGCAGATTGTAGACATGTTAAAGAACTCATGAATGCTTATTTGATCTCAGTTGAATGAACTCGTGATGATTTGAGTGTGTCCTGGTAACATTCAATTGTATCTGGAAATTTTAGGTGCAGTTGTACTGGTTGAAGTTGGGTTGGTCTACAAAAATTTCTTTTTAAGTTGGGCATTTGAATTTGCTGGCAGTTCTTTCATTTCTTTATCCTTTCTTATTGTGTGTACAAATTCTGGTGGTTGGTGGTGTGTTACCAAATGAGAATGGAGTTGCGAAGCTAGATCCACTTTATTTACAACTCCTTTTAGCTGTGATTAGTATTTTTTGACAATATTATTCATGTTGATCCTTCTCAAGTGAGAAAGTATTAATGTTTAATTAATTATTTTGAACAATTCAAAACTTTTCAAGTTTTTCCCTTAATTTTTTATCTATTAATTCTTGGCAAGTCACTTTTGCCATAATGAAAACTTTAACCATTATGAAAACTTAACCATTAATCAGTTATCACATAAGGAAGATTAGATAATTTAAGGCTCTACTTGGTTGATGCAATATTCGAATCATCTACATTTGGTAACCCTTCAAATTGAAAACAAAAAATATGAACGAAGGGAGTTAGCTCAATAGTTCTTGAGATCAAAAAATATTTTGATATATGGACAATGTCGTTGGTTAGGGTCTCTTTCATTAATGTTTCAGTTTTTAGTTTACAAAGCATGAGAAACAAGTTTTCATTTATTTTTATGAAAAATAAAAACAAAAAACTAAATATTTTGAAAATAAATAGAAATAAAAATATAGAAATATATTTTTGATGAGTTGCTGAAGATGGAGGGTGGATGGATGTGGTGACCAATAGTGGCGGCTGGCCAAAGGTGCCTGTTGGAGTTGGCGATCGGATGTCGCCCCACCGAAGAGTCGCAAGAGGTTCGCCGGAGCTCGCTACCCACTTGCAGTGGTCAATGGCCGATTGTGGTGGTGGTGGTGGTGGTGGCCGACGGTGGTACGTAAGAGGAAAAAATGAAAGCTTGTTTTAAAAAGTAGTGAAAACACATATTTTGTGTTTTCAAAAATTTTGAAAATTTTAAAATCAATTTTATTTTTTTGAAAACGAAATTAATATTCAAAATAGGCTAAGAGTCGCAAGAGGTTCGCCGGAGCTCGCTACCCACTTGCAGTGGTCAATGGCCGATTGTGGTGGTGGTGGTGGTGGTGGCCGACGGTGGTACGTAAGAGGAAAAAATGAAAGCTTGTTTTAAAAAGTAGTGAAAACACATATTTTGTGTTTTCAAAAATTTTGAAAATTTTAAAATTAATTTTATTTTTTTGAAAACAAAATTAATATTCAAAATAGGCTATGAAGTATGGATGTTTCGAAAAACATACCGTATCCGTATTGGATATTTACCGGCGTATGGTACCTCGTATGGCATTTTACATACATACCGGGTACACGAAACACGTACTTAAATTTTTTCTTCTTAATTTTTGGCGTACGTACCCAGGCGTACCTAGATGTACCTAAGCCGTATCGTACCTCAATTGCAACAAATATTTTCTTCTACTACAAAAATAAAACTCCTTTCACTAGACTTCTTTTTTATTTTTAGTTTTATACTTAGTATGATTTTAAAATTAAACTATGATTTGTAAGTTATTTAATATATTAACATTTAATTTTGATTTACACCTTTACTTTTGGCATTAAATGTTAATTATAGGTCGGATATTAACAAATTAAACCATTTAATTAATTTATATATTACTCTAAATTAAAAATAAATATTTTTTTACATCTTATCCAAAAAAAAATATATATATATTTTTTTACATGTGTACCAAGTAGTATTCGTACTCTACCTTCTTTTTTTTTTTACCGTATCAACGTACCCGTATGGTACCCGTATCTCATAGAAAATAAGTTTTCGTTTTCAATTTCCAAAAAAAATGAAAACAAAAATAGAAAATAAAAAACAAAATCGTCAAATTAAACCATTTAATTAATTTATATATTACTCTAAATTAAAAATAAATATTTTTTTACATCTTATCCAAAAAAAAATATATATATATTTTTTTACATGTGTACCAAGTAGTATTCGTACTCTACCTTCTTTTTTTTTTTACCGTATCAACGTACCCGTATGGTACCCGTATCTCATAGAAAATAAGTTTTCGTTTTCAATTTCCAAAAAAAATTAAAACAAAAATAGAAAATAAAAAATAAAAAACAAAATCGTTAACATTTCTTAGTTTTATTTCAGGCCTCTTCTCAGTTTGAGAATTTGCATGTATTTGAATTTCTGCTTTGTATTTTTTATTAAATTAAAATAAAATTAATCAGTAATTATGGCATAAATTATAAATAAAGCTTGTTTTAAAAACAAATGAAGACACATATTTTGTGTTTTTAAAAAGAAAAATGACTCGTAGCTCGAATTTCATGCGGCTCGAATGGCCCGAACTGTCCAAAATGACGTCATTTTGGGCAGTGTTTTTTTTTTTTTTGTTTGTTTTTTTTTTTTTTTTTTTTTTCTTTCTTCATTTTCATTCTTTCGAACAGACAGAGAGGGAAGAGAAGAGGAAGGAGAGAGAGAGAGAGAGAGAGAGAGAGAGAGAAGAGAAGAGGCGATCGACGGTGATGGTGGTGGCGATTGCAGATCTGGATCTGAAAAAAAAAAAATATTGATGATGAGATCCGGATTTGCAGAGGATTTTTTTTTTTTTGTTGATGAAGCTGTTGAAGATGATGGCCCGAACTGCATTTTTTTTCTCTGTTTTCTCTGCATTTTTCTTCTTCTTCTTCCTTTTCTCTGCATTTTTCTGTCCGACATCAAGAAAAATTGGGTTAACATCATCAGTTTTCTTCAACATCATCACCAAATTTTTTTTTTTGATGTCGAAACCCAGATTAAACATCATCTCCTTATGTTGATGCCGAAACTCAGCTCCTTCTTCTTCTCTTCTTCTTCAGCTTTCTTCTTCTTCTTCTTCAGTTCAGAAAAACGCGAAAAAAAAAGACACCAAAATGACGTCGTTTTGGTGTTGAGCCATTCGAGCCATCAGACTTTCGAGCTACCAATCGGAATTGTTTTAAAAATTTTGAAACCAATTTTATTTTTTTTAAAATGAAAATAATATTCAAAACAAGTTTTTGTTTTCAATTTCCAAAAAAAATGAAAACAAAAACAAAAAATAGAAAACAAAAATGTTAACATTCCTTAGTTTTATTTCAGGCCTCTTCGCAGTTTAAGAATTTGCATGTATTTGTAATTTGCCCTATAATTATGGATTGATTCTAGAGGGATTTTTTGTTTTTGTTTTTTTGTTTTTTTTTTTTAATATTCTAAAAAAAAACTACTTAGAGAATTAATTCATTTTTCAAATTATTTGGGAAACTAACTTGTTTTTGAAATCGCATTTTGAAAATGCGATTTTGAAATTGAAATTGCATTTTCAACATGCAATTTCATCTTGAAATCGCATGTTGAACATGCGATTTCACCATGCCATCATAAATTGCATTTTCAACTTGTGATTTCAAGGTGAAATTACACGTTGAAAATGTAATTTCAAATTCAAATAATAAGTTAGTTTATCAAATAATTTGAAAAGTGGGTCAATTCTCTAAATATATATTTTTTTTATAGAATATTTTTTTTAAAAAAATCTTGATTCTGCTCCATTATAATCGAGATACATGTAAATAATATATATATATATATATATATTTCTAATTCATGATATAATAGTATAATTATTGATTAATTTTATTTTAATGTAATAAAAAATAGAAAACAGAATTTCAAATACATATGGACAATGTGCTCTCATATGGAAATACTTTATTGTGAGTCCCAATTGTTTTCCATATACTTTTTTTTTTTTTTTTTAAGGTACAACGGAAATAAAATATGAGAAAAAACAAACACACAAGAATAGTAGCGGCACACATACAAAACAATTGGGAAAAAAAAATAGCCTAGTTTAGGCTAAAATTTACAAAAAAATAAAATAAGCTAAAATAGTTAATAAGACAAAGGGGCTGTTTGGGAAGTGGTTTGGGCGGCTATTATAGCCTAAAAATTTTTTTTAGCCAAAAAGTCACTTTTGCAAGCTTTTTCAAAAAAAAAAAAAAAAAAAAGGACTGCACAGCGGCAGTGTAGGCTGTGCCTACACTGTCAGCTACAAAATTTGTTCCATCAATGGTAAATTACGGTTTTATCCCTTGACAACAATTTCAAAAAATATATTTTTAGGGGCAAATTTGTCATTCTAATTTCAAACATCATTTCAACACATTTTTCAATACAACAATTCAAATAAAATTCATCTTAACTTCCCAAACACAAAAACTAAAATAGCCAAAAAGCCAAATAGCCTACTAAAATAGCCACTTCCCAAACGAGGCCAAAATATCACATCAAACCCATAATCATTTCACTTTTTCTCTCACAAACATCACATCCAACCACAAAAAAATCTAATCATCTTCTCAAACACAAAAATTTTAGCCTACTAAAATAGCTAAAAACTAAAATAGCCTACTAAAATAACAACTTCTCAAACGAAGCCACAGAGTCCTCTGATACCCCATTTTCACAATATATTGATACAATAATGCTTGGTAGCCCAAATTTTTATAACCCGAATGGTTCGAATGTCTTAAAACGACGTTATTTTTTGGGTAAAACGATGTCGTTTTGATGTGTTCGAATCATTTGAATCACACAAATTCGAGCTATCAAACATTTTTGATACTGATAAAATAGAATTACCTTGTTGAAATTCTAAAGGAGAGCCACAGGTGATAGTAATATCAACTTAAATGATAATTGGGTGGATCTTATAATGAGTTAAATTAAATGAAAATAGAATTCAACTTAAACTCTACAAGAATTTCTTGATGAATTCTCCTTACCTACAGGGAAGATAAAGCTGAATTTGGTGGATATGGTGGCCTTTTCAGAGATGAAAAAGGAGCATAGATCTTAGGATTCATTGGCAAACTTGAAAGTGTTAATAACTTAGAAGTGGAGATATAGCGAATTTATAAA